ATATCGGTAGCAGCGATGACATTGATTATGAGGATAGTTAGCAAAAAGGTAGGTTGTAAAATTGCATCCTCAGTATATTCTGGTAGAGGGTGCTTGTTAGGCTCTGTGTCTAGTTCTGGAGGTCTAAGTAATCTACAAGTTTTTATCAGTAGTTACTACAGGTCAACAGTATAGACTTCTTTAGGGACAAGATATTTTTGTTCAAATTGGGCTAGGTCTCTTTTATCAGTTACTGTTGGTTGAGCTAGCAAAGGTTGGTGTTGTTTATAGGTAGTTAGAACATGGATCTTCTTTTTATTTTACTTAATTGTATAGATCTTATTTTTCTAATTATAACTGGCTTCAACTTTCTGTGACCAGTTATTTTCTAAAAGCAGAGAGTAAGATGCAGTGTGTATAACTTCTACATCAAGAAGGATAATGACTTCTTCAATTTCTACTAAAAGGTTTTTAATAATTCTTAGAGTCAGGTAGAGGGTTCAGTAGCTAATACAATTAAGCTTGTAGAGGGAGCTTCAATTTTTAAACCAAGTTTCTTGACAACTTTGTGAGAGATCATGCTAATTGCAGTTCTGCTATCGATAATAGTATGGTAGGGTCTGTTTCTAAGTTTAATATTACACTTAACAGGAGTAGTATAAGTTGGTGTCTGTGTCTGGTTAGAGGTGCTAGATTCTTCTGTAAAATAATTAGCTAAAGCTATTCTAATAGATTCATTGACTAAAAATTGTTCAAATTGTTTGTAGATATAGTCATTAGCTATATCTGCAGTATATACATCTCAAAGATAAAGAGTAGAGGATCAGCTTCTAGACTTATAGTTCTGGTTATAAGAAGAACGGTTATCAGAGTGATATCTATCATGGGATTGATTTCTGCTTCTAGATCTGTTTCTTCGGTTATAGTCTCTATTTCTAGATCTATCTTTATTACAAGATCTGGATTTGTCATAAGATCAATTATTCTTAGAAGAATATCTATTATCTTGGCTAGTAGATCGATAATCATATGAGTTTTTTCTATTATTCTCTTTTCTTATACAGCAATCTCTAATTAAATATCCTCAGTTGCTACAGTAGTAGCAAGTATTGTCTCAAGAATTATTATTATTGTTATTATTATTATCTCAGTGAAAGAAGTTGTTATTTTCAGAGTAGTAGACAGAAATAGCAGATTGTTTTTTAGCAAGGTTGATATTGAGCTTAGCAATTTGTTCGGTAAAGTAAGCAATAGCTTGGTCATTCCCATTGCCATTAGTATTATTTTCAGAGACCATAACTTGTCCAGTTTCCTATTTACGTGCCTCTTCTATGGCACTGTTCAAATTATTTAGTTTAGTAGTCTTATATTCATAGCATACTCTGGTCACAATCCTTGGATAAAGAATTAAACTATCATAGCTCCAGGGATTTTATTCTCAGAATCTACTTGGAGTTAAAGTTGTTTGAAGCAGCTAATATAGGTATCAACTGTGTCTGTTCCTTGTTTTATTTCAAAAAGCTGTTTTTGCCATATAGCTTTTTGTCTAGTAATACTGAACTTTTCTTTAAACATATAGGTAAAACTTCGAACATGGTGACTATTTACATCTTGGTTATATTGATCATAATGATAGTGGGTAGAAGCATTAGCAAGACTAGTAAACCATTCTTGGGTATTGTCTTTCATATATGCAGCAGCTAATTCTAGTTGTTGGGCAGGGCTCTAGTGGTTGGCTTTGGCAGCTCGATCAAATTCTTCTAACCAAATTATAGGGTCTTGGGTTCTATTATTATGATAAAATTCTATTTTGATAAAAACTTTTTACCACCATGTTCTAAGGCATTAGCAATATTATTTATTGTTTTAACAGCAGCTCTAAGTATAGCATCAGCTATGTTTTCTTCTTGTTCTGGTTTTTCGTCAGCTACAGTAGAATTGGTTTTGGCATCAAAGACTTGGTTGCTACTTTCTTCTTGTCCTTCTTCTGGTATCTCAATAATAAAGTTAGGGTCTTGATTAGGCTCTACTAGTAATAGTGCAGTAGGGAGTTGTTGTCAGAGTTGAGAAGAAGTATTTAATGAAGTAATATTAAGATCTAAATCAGCTTGTGAGTAAGCTCCAGATACAAGAAGAGGGTTAGTAGTATTAGTAGAGATATTAGTAGGTATAATATAGTTAAGAAATTAAACGAATAGGTGAAGTTAGGCTCGAGATGAGTTAGTTGCAGTGTAAGGAGAAGTAAGAGTAAATTCTAAATTGATATTAGCAAAGAGAGATTAGAAGTGTTAATTTGAGGAAAAATTGAATTTGAATAGTATTTTCGTTATAGTCAGGAAGAACAGAGGTAGATTGAGTAGAGATATCTTCTATTTCCTCAGATTGTAAAGGGTTAGAAAAATGTAGATTATGGAGGGTTGCAAAATAAGAATTATCAGTTTTACTTTGGGATATTGAAGCTACAGGTAAACCAAAATCTCCTAAAGCTTTAGTAGTGTCAGTAGTAGGGTTTAATTGGAGAGAATAATCAGAATTTTTAATATACGAATCAAAGTTGTTGATAGGAAAATTTGAAGATAAATAAGAGGCAAGTCGATGTCTAGTATAATTAGCTAAAAGGGTAGCTGCTATTTGTTGGGGGTTGTCAAATGGAGTTTTATATTGACAACTAAAAATAATATTTCTAACTAAAACTCAAGCAGAGCTATAGTTAGGTAACTTCTTAATTCAAAATAAGCAACTGTTATCTGAGTATAGGAAGCTGTGGCAAAGACTTGTTGATACCACAACTAAAAACGACAGAAAATACGATAGTATTGAGTAGCAGTAAAACACTGTCGACAAGATTCATCAGGAGCAAGTACTTGGAGGATATTATTTGCAAGGCTATTTTTTTGGTATGCTAGTTCATGTCTTCATATACGTTCCAAATACAATTGGTAGACTTAATACATATAATACTGTGAGCAATCCTTGGGTTGTAATATTTAAGAGTCGTCTGGTTTTAGTTATATTTAAAATTTTAATCCTGAGTAAAATTATTTACGCCTACACTTGGCTTGTAGGTAATTCGTACTTAATCCTTGATTAAGGTTCACAGTAAGCTGCTAGTTCTATAGTTGTTACGAAAGCAGAGGCTTCAAATGTACTCTTCTAAGCAAATCTTTTTTAATTTGTCAAAACTTTCAATAGTTGCTATGAAAGCAAAGACTTCAAGTATATCCTTCTGATCAAATCTC